GCAACCTGGCAGGGGATCGAACTCGTGTTGCAGTGGCTGCAGAGAGCTTCATAGTGCTGAGACTTAACCACTTGCAACACCAGGGAGGGTCCCTGCGGGTCTCTGTTTAAGTGATCCAAGTATATGCATCATGCCCACCATCTTGAACCTTGTGTTTGAGCAGAATCTTCTATGGAAAGGCAGGAGCACAGACTGCCCCTCCCGTATTAACCCCAGGGCCCAGGAAGGTGCTTTGGGGTGTGGGGGAGAGAGAGGTCTCCTCCAGGAAACCTGAGACCAATCACTCAGAGGAAGAGACAGAGAAGCACCAGGTGCGGTGCCGGCCCAGTGCCAGCAGGCCTGGTGAGGCCAGACCCATCTGCCTCTCCAGGGCTTGGCAAGGCTGCCTGAGGCACATGGGGGTTCAGCTGGCTTCAGGGTTCTTGGGGGGTTTCTGGCTTAAGGATCCCGTGGGCCCAGCAGGGTTGGGGCCAGAGATTAGAGCACCCAAGAGGGGAAGGGCGGGTAGAGAAGAGGGCAAGGCCTCCGCCCTACCCCACAGGCCTCTGGCAGCTGGAAAAGGCAGGAGACGACAGCCGGGCCTGCTGAGAGGGTTTCCTCTCTGGCAGCAAGGGCTGCAGACAAGTCTCACAGGTCGGCCGGGCAGGAGCCAGACTGTCAGTGCTTCTGGGAGATTTCTGTGGCTTTGGGGGCAGGCGAGGCCAAAGAGAGGCTGTGTGGAGAAGAGAGCGTCATTCTGGGGAGCAGGGAAGCAGGGAGGATGCAGCAGCAGAACCTTGCAACCCAGAGGGTGAGCTGCAGCAGAGAAAACCAGCTCTCGCTGCCAAACTGGAATTCTTCTTCTGTTTGCCCAGCAGAGGAGATGGGAGACTCAGCTGAGGGCTTGGATGTGGAAGTGTGAGGTGGGGGGCTGGGGGAAGATGGGGGGAAGCAGGCCGTTTGCTGCTCCCTACCCACAGAGGCCCCCACGTCACCGTGCCTTGCCAAGCCTCGCCTGGGCTATGCCTCAGGTCTCTTGCCCTCCCGGAATGGGCCAAGCGGGCAGCAAAGGAGCCACGTGACAGCTGACTTTGAGGCTCTCCCTGAGTTCGAGCCCCAGGGCCACCTGAGCGCACGGAGGGGCTTTGACCCAGTCTCTTGCTGTTGAGTCTCATCTGTGAATGGGGTTTCTCTCTAAGGCACTCCCATACTCACTACCTTATCTCCTTGTCCATCTCATGCTTCGCTGTCCTGGGCAATCGCCTGCCGTTTCGAGGACAAAGCTAGTCAGGTCACTGGTTCACTGCCTGTGACTTCTCTCCTCCGTCCCCCTGACCCCGGGTCAGTGCCCCTGGGGGCACTGCATGTCCAGGGTGCTGCCGCCTCTGAGGCCCCACAGGTCGGGGCCTCTGTTGACGGGGTTTAGTGAGCAGTGACCCACCAGCACCTGGGTCAGGGCACTGGGGTTCTGCCTCCTGAAGCCCCTCCCCAGGGCTGCGCCACTCCCAAGTGAGGAGAGGCCCAGGGGTGTGAGCCCCATTCTGGCCCCTCCTTGGAGGAAGTATTCACATCAGAACAAGGAAGAGGTAACAACAGTGGGGAGAGGTGATGGTGATAACGGCAGCAGGGTGGGGCTCCCTAGGTTTCCTGCCAGCTTGGATTGTCAGGATGGCCCTGCGAGCTCCCACTGCCAGCCTGAGGAGGGGATCGGTGCGTCCCCACAGAGCAAGTCCCCTAAGGGTTTTAGTGGGTCCCATCAAATGTGCTTTGGCGCCCTCGTCTGGATTTGTGTGGTGCCTGCACGCAGGCTGGCCATGGACAATTAGCGCTATTTCTCCCCTCTTCTCTCTATATCGCCCTTTGTGAGAAATGACATCTTTAAAACCATAGACATATTTGAGGAATGACATGAGTTGTGGCTACCACGAGAACTGCCTCCCAAACACCGTGAAGTGAAAAGCTTATTGACACACGATTATGTTTGTCTGATCCTGAGCAAATGTTTGTTCATTGAACCTTGACTCAGCCAGCCTAGAAGGAAAAAAATCACTTCCCAAGTCGTTTGTACATCTGACTGGTTACTACTTCTTAGGATCCATGTCTGGGGTCCAGAGTTTCTAACAAACCCACCCAGCAGATGCATAAACTCTTGCAGGGAGCTGACTGTGTAGCAGAAGCTGTTGAAGTCAGGGGAGCACCGGTCACTCACACGTCCACTCACCCGTCTGGCAGGGCTTCCCGAGCGCCTCCCCAGTCGACACAAGGCGCGAGGGATGCCGGGAGCAGCCTCGCAGCAGCTAAGGGCACAGCCCGTGAAGTCAGGCCACGTGGGGCTGGGCCGGGCTTTGCTTCCCACCAGCCTCCAGCCGTGGACAGTGACCACGTTATTCAGCCAAGTGTCGGTTTCCTCCTTACTTGCTAAGTCAGAGCCCCGGCGGCGCCTCCCTCACAAAGCAGATCTACCAGAGGGAGGTGGTGGTCACTGCCTGAGTGGTCACCAGGTCTGGGGACAGCGGCCAAAGCACACCAGGAGGCTAGTGTACCTGCTGAAATGTCTGTCTCCCCGGACTCTGGCGCCACCCTGCGTCACCCCTGCCCTCCAGTTTTGAGTTTTCAATCCAGACCGGAGGTTCTGAATACGCGATTCCAGACCAGCAGCATAAGCGGGCAACCTGGGAACCTGTTAGACATGCAAATTCTCCAAGCCTCTGAATCAGAAACTCCAGGGGTGGAGCCCAGCGATCTGTTTGAACAAGCCCTGCCGGGGAGTTTGGTGCACACTCGTTTGTGAGCCACTGATCCGGAGAAAATGACACACGTGTAAACAAGCAATTAAAAGCAGGTGGGCTTCCCAGCAGCCGGGATGTCCCGGGCTGAGTCCTGCAGGAAGAGCTGGTGTTCACAGGGGGGCCGCGTCGGAGGCATGTGGGGCACATGCAGGAACTGGGGAGTGTGTGTTGGGGGGTGTGCAAAGGGGAACGCATAGGAAGGAACTGACATGTAACCATGGAGACCATGGAAGGTTTTCCATGGAGGATGCAAGGACACGTCTGCAGCGTAGAAGGAAGCACGCATGCGCAGTGCAGCCTGGAGGCCTGGGTAGCCCCGAGGCGCAAAGCCCAGCTGGGAAGAGGCTGGAATGATGAGGCAAGAGCCCACCTGGGAGGGACCCGAGGTGATGGGGCAGGAGAGCAGTGGGTGGGGGCGGAGAGAGATGTAGAGGGGGATGCATGGTGCCAGGCAGCGGGGCTTGAGGCTATCTCTTGTTCTCCTCTGGTGGCACGTCTGACCACAGGAGCAGGTGCTGGCATGAAAGGCAAGGGTGCGCCGAATTGGGCGGTGGTTGGGGGAGGCACAGGAGGAAGCTCTGTAGTAAAACAGGAGTTAATGGCGCTGCTGTTATTTGCCAACATTTTTCATTCATTTATTTTTTTCAGCAAATATTGGGTTCTCTGTCATGTGCTAGATACTTCTAGGACAGAAGAGCACAATGTAGTCAGAAATTGCTCTCATAGAGATAGGGGACAACCACAATGAATAAGTCAACAAATCTATAAGCCAAACCTTTCAAATTGCAGTCGGTGTTCTAAAGAAAAGAGAGATTAAGGAGGTTTGGGGTGGGAAGACTTGGGGTGAGATAGTCAGCAAAGGTCTGAGAGTAAGAAAAATTGAGCTACATGATAAGTAGCAGCCAGATTTGCAAAAAAAAAAAAAAAATGTTCTCAGGCAGAGGGAGCAGCAGGTGCAAAGGTCCTGGGGTAGAAAAGAATTTGGAATGGTGAGGAACAGAAAACTGCAAACCACTGGACCTGGCCAGCAGTGGGAGAGGACATCCGGCAGCTGGCACATGACAGCAAGGGGACATTTTCAGAGATGATGGGATGAGGTAGGATGTGAAAGCGTTCAGTAAAAACCTTGGGAACCAAATGCATGTTTAGGAGCACTGAGCTGCATCTTCAAGGAGAGAATGAGTGACTGCAGCAAGAAGGATTTGGATTCCATTTCAGAGGAAGCCCAGGCTGCAAGAATCCTCAGCTGTCAGGACCATGTCCAATGCACATAATTGGTGGATTTTGGGGGTTTGTTTTTAAGAATTGGTTTGCAACCAAGCTGATGTCATTGCAGGTGCATCTTGACGGGAATGAAAAGAGATAGACAAGGATTTTGAAGAGGAAAATGAGATGAGAATGGAATCCTCCCCTGGCTGGGTGGAGGCTCCCTCTAGTGCCACCTGCACCCCAACTGTCCAGGCAGCCTACTTTTGCTGCAGGACCACGGGGGAAGGCTCACAGGCCTGAGCATGCCAGGCCTCACCCATGGGAAGGAAGCCAGGACCCAGCCTGCCTGGTAGATGGAGGGACCCAGACTGAGAAAGGCAAAGGTAACAGGCTCTATCAGGCCGACGGGGACCCCAATGCCAAAGACACCCCCCTTCTGCTCTAGGTTATCTCCAGGACTTCCCCAGGCTCACCTGCAGGACACAACTATGTGTCCACCAAAGGCCTGACCAATCCCCTAGAGCAGAACAGCAGTTGGTACACACCTGCCACCCCAGGATGGCAGAAGCCCCACCCAGCAAGACAAGCAAGGGTCAGCCTGACATCACTGTTTGTGCCCTCCACACACAGCTCCCTCGTTTCCTGTGGCCTCAGTGCTCCAGGTCCTTCCTCTGAGCCTGGGTCTAGAACAGCTCTTTACTCTCCTTCGGGAGTCACTACCTTCCTACCCATGGGACCCACCCAACGCTCACCCACACCTCCCCAACCCACCCCTCCCCACCCAACTCCGCCCCAGAAACTTTCCATGATTGACACCGGTCGTCCCAGGCCAACAAACACCCACACAGGCGCACACACCCAGCTCTATCCACCGCTTGGAAGTCTTGCCTCCTCCTGGTCCCTCATAGGCCTTGCCCAGGCCATGGGTGACACTGGGACCATGTCCCCTCCCAAGGAGGCCTCGGGGACAAGGGCAAAAGTAAGGCCAATAGCGGGAGCAGGGAGAAATGCCACCTTACTCACTTGATAAAGTACACGGCTCCTTCCTGGGTGGAATCCATCTCCCAGCCTTTGGGCAAACCTGGAGGAAGAAAGTCACAAAGTGAGGTCCCGGAACACGCAATCCCCAACGAGTATGGCCAGCACCCAGGAAGCACCAGCAAAATTCCTGCTGATGACAACAGTGGTCAGCCATTTCTCCCCCTTTATGCCCACCATTCCCACCAGGCTGCTTGCAGCAAATACAAGAGAGATGACAGTGGGTGGCACGTCCCCTGTCGTGAGCCATGAGGTGATGAAGTGACTCTGCCTCACAGGATTTCCTCGTTCACTCAACAAACTTGCACTGAGCTTCTGCTTTGTACCCCATGCCAGCCCCCAGGGCCACAGCAGTGGCCCGAGGATGTCTGAAGCAAGGATGGTGGCCTGAGGATCTCCGACCAGACACCTTTCATTGCAGATGCCGGAGCCAAGGGTGGGACTAGCCTCAAGCTTCAAAAGTAGCGCCAGGAGTGATCCAGGGCTCAGCCTCTGAATCCCAAGCCAGGGCGAGTGCCTCCAGATCCTATTGCTTCTCGCTTAGGGACTAAGGGTCTGGGAAGTCAGTCCCTGGAAAATGGAGGCAGTAAAAAAAATGTCCACAGCGACCCTTGAATAGGACACAAAATGATCCTTGGAAATGCTCAGAGTGGAGAGTCACTCACAGGGCAATGGAGGCCTGAACGGCGGAGGAGGCTGAACTCGGGTATCCCTGCTGGACAGCCCCGCAGGGGCTGGTCACTGTCTCCTCTGGCCCCCTCCGGCCCCCTCCCTAAACAGCCACCCTGGGGTCAGCCTACACCTTGAGGCATGCGCACTGAAAGCCCTGTAGAGAGCCCACTGTCAGATTAGGGACAGCAGGGCCTGGTGGAGAGCATTCTTTTGGGATGCGAGAGCCCCGAGGCTGACATATTGGTGAACAGTTGCAGATTGTCATATCGACCACTGCCACAAGGCTTTATGAGACACAGCTAGTGGCTGTGGGTCCCAAGTGACCCACATGGCTCTCTGGCCACATCACTGGTTGCCTGAGGGCATAGCTGCTGGACACCACCTGATGTGCGTGCGGGGGAGCGGGGGGGACCCGAATGTGTGGGTGGGTGAGTGTGTGGGCTTGCGTGCTGGGAGACACACAGAGAGGCCGACACCAGGAGAGCAAGGGACTGAAGAAGGCTGCCATGTTGTTTCCATGAGCGGGCTCCCTAGGGCCTTCTCACTGAGAAGAACTGGCCTCTTGCTTGGGGCCTCAATGTATTTTGCTTCTGGGCTGTGGCAGGCCCAGGGTTTTTTCATTCACTCGTCTTATTCACCGGTATTTATGGAGGGTGTGAGTGCATCATTGCTGCTGATGGTGATGATGCAGCTTTAATGCGGGAGGGCGGCAGCCCTGCTCCTTGGCCTACAGACAGACAAAGCCAACGACCCCTCACCGGTGCCTCCTTCCTCCAAGCTGCACATTTGGCCTCTGTGAGCACATGTCGTCTGTACCACGACATCATACACTGACATCCGCATGGCCATTTTACAGATGAGGTGACCGAGGCCCAGAGAGGTGAATCCATTTGCTTAAGGCCGCACAGGAAGTGTCTGGGTCGGGATGTGAGTCTGGTCTGCTGCCCCCAAAGCTCACACTCTTCCCTCTGTGCCGCTCTATAAATGCTGCTTGTTCCCCGCTGGCCTTTTGGGAGGACATTCCCATTCAGAAGGGCGTGGATTGGCAGCCTCCCTGAGTGCAGGGATCCCCATTGGGTATAATCCTGCCACTGTGATGTGCCTGGGAAAGAGGCCAACGAGGGCCGTGTCCTCTGCCTTTTCCAGCAATGTCCCTCCACACTGCCCTCTCTGCCTGGGCAACACCAAGAGTGCTATGTTCCTGTCCAGGCGGAGTGCCCGCTGAGGCAGCTGCCCTCCCAGGAGGCTTCGGGGGGCATCTTAACCTCTTCTCAGTCTTTTACAAGCCATTGGCTGTGGTGGAAAACAAAAAAATGGCTGACGGACTTTATGTTCCCATCCTACCTAGCGTCATGGTAAGCTGGACAGGAGTCAATTTGTAAACAGGGGCTGGGGGCAAGAGCCCCCTCATTTCAAGCTGGAAATACCACACAGGCATCCCCGCCTGTCTAAAGTCATGTTACGTCACTTCACTTATATAAAAGATGTACATGCATATCTGGTTTTGCTAATCAGGAGAACGCTAAAGAGGAATTTCCACTTTACAACCAAAGCCAAGAGCGAAAGTGTAGTGAAGGGTGGCCTTGTGGGGGTCACTCCAGGGGCAGTGGCCCCCATTACTGCGGGGGTATCACCAAACTCCCTCCCGGGAGCTCCTTCACGTGGGCAGATTGATCACAGCATCCTTGCTTTTGCCGTAGGTTAGTGCTATTTTAGGTTTTCCCTGTAATTTAGTACGAGTTGGTAGATTACGTTGGAATCTGGGAGCACTCAAAATTTTTTCCATATAAACAACTTGCTTCTTTGCTTCCAAGAGTTTTCGTATGAGCGCTCTATTTTCAGATATTGGGGGGACTGGTATGACAGGAACTGCCACTGGTCGAAACACTCATGGAATCTTTGCTACAACATGTTGAGGTCCATAATCGTATCCTCATTTTACAGATGAAGAAGTAAACTCCCTAAGGAGTAAAGCAGGTACTCCAGACCAGGCTAACAGAAAGTGAGCTCAGATTTGAACTCAGGTCTCTCTGCTTTTATTTTACTTATTTATTTTTAAAAAAAATTTATTCTATTTATTTATGCATACAGTACAAGAACTGGGGTGTAGGCCAGAGGTGGGAGGGGGTGAGAGGATTCACCAGAGAGAGTGGGGAGCGGAACAGGAGAACTGAGTGGAAGCACACTGCTGAGGAGGACAGCATTGAGACAAGAAGGGTCTGCTGCGCCCTGTGGGTCACCTCCCTGGCTGGGGATCGAACTGTGCTATAGCTGCCAATAGCTTCACAGTGCTGAGACGTAACCCCTAGGCCACCAAGGAGGCACCCTAATTTCCCTCCCTTTAAGTCAAAATTGGACTTGATGATTCCTCAAGTCCTTTTCAGCTCTACGGACACAGCATGCTGGTCACGAGTCTAAATTCTGGACAAGCCTGCACCGTCGCCCATGGTGTCCAGCAGTGTGCTGTGCCCACAGGTAACCGACTGTGCTGTGCATCAGATGAAGGGCTGGAAGACCATGGCGGCAGGGTGGGGTTAAGCAGTCCTAGTGAGACAAGTAGTCCTTGTCCCCTTTTCTTTCTCGCCCGACCCCCTCATCCCCACCTTGTGAAAGACTTCCAACTACAAGGAGCAAATTTAAACTAGTGAAAAATCGAAGACTCAGGCCCTCCCTGGTAGTGCAAGGGGTTAAGTCTCAGCACTATGAAGCTACCACCAGCCACTGCAGCCAGCAGGAGTCAATCTTGGCCAGGGAGCTGACCCACAGAGCGCAGCAGACTCCTCCTGTCTCTCTGTTGCTCCCCTCAGCGGTGGATTTCACTAAAATCTGTCTTTTCTGCTCCCTACTCTGTCTCTGGTGCATCCTCTCACCCCCTGCACCTCTGGCCTGCACCCTAGTTCTTAGATGCATAAATAAATAAAATGAATCTTTAAAAAAAAGAATGAAAGACTCAGGCCCTCAGTCTCATTAATTACATGTTGGCTGCCCTGTAGCCACGTGGGCAGGTGGTGACCATAGTGGGCAGGGCAGCTTGCCCACCATGTCGTCATGTTCCATGGTACAGCCCTCTGGGCTGGAGGGCTCCCAGTTCAGCTCTCAGATTCAGGGGCTCTTCTGGCCCGGCAGGGGGATAAGAAAGGAGTAAAGTCTTTGCCCTCCGAGGCCTGTCCCAGATACTAAGATACTAATTGTCGAGTCAGAAGCATGGAAAGACCTTGAGCTGAGCAGCAAGCCTCCCGCACCCTCACCCAGATGGGAGCCAAACGCTGAGCTGATCCATCCACTGAGCAAGAGTTGGGGACATTCAAAGCTGGGGGGGAGGCGGGGAGCGGGGCGGGGGGAGGCATGGCTCCTTACTGCCCTCTCCAGCCACCGCCTCCTCCCTGCCTGCCAAGGAGAGACAGATGAGCTTCTTACCTGGGCCAGAACAATGGCCGCTCTTGATGGGGGATCCTGTACTTGGGTGCACCCAGCTGGTTGACTTTTCCTCGTCACTACAGAAGACCAATAAAGAAGAGTCAGACAGGGCTCTCTCTGGTGGTACAACGGGTCAAAACACAGCACTATGAAGCTGTCCATAGCCACTGCAGCACGGGTTCAATCCCCAGCCAGCGAGGTGACCCACATGGTACCGCAGACCTCTCCTGACCCACCCACTGTTCCCTTCAGCAGTGGATTTCACTATATCTGCCTGTTCTGCTCCCCACTCTGTTTCTGGTGAATCCTCTCACCTCCCTCCCCAACACACACCTCTAGCCTGTACCCCAGTTCTCGTATACATAAACGAATAAATCTTTAAAAAAATGAGTCAGATAGGGCCCTCCCTGGTGGTGCAGCAATTTAAAGCACAGCACTAAAAAGCTAAAGCCACTTCAGCATGAATTCGATCCCCCGCCCCAGAGGTGACCCACATGGCTGGCAGACCTCTCCTGACCCGCCCGCTGCTCCCCTCAGCAGTGTACTTCGTCAGTCAGCCTGTTCTGCTCCCCTCTCTGTCTCTGGTGAATCCTCTCACCACCCCTAAACCTCTGGCCTGTACCCCATTTCTGTATGCATAGATAAATAAATCTTTAAAAAAAGAATCAGATCTTAGCCCCCCCAAGTTCTGTCACCCCTGACTGTCCCATCAAGTGCACCCTCTGCACTGGCATATTTCATTCACATTCACCAGCAGGCTCTGAGGCTCAGACTTTCCAGCCCAGCGAGCAGCAGACATATAGGGGTATGGCTTTCGCGTGCTATGCTGGGAACGGCGCTCCCCTCACAGCAGTGTACAGCGCCCCCCACAGGGGAGGGAGTGGTAGCACGTGGAGTTCTTAACTGGCAGCTTCTCTAACAGGCAGGAGAGGAGGAGGCCGGTGAACCGAAGTTCTCTGGGTGTCTACAGTGCTGCACATTTTCATTCAGAATATTCCTCTAACCTTAGGTCGTTTACAGATTATGAACCCGAGGTTCTTAGAAATGCAGCAATTTGTCCAAAGTCACACAGTCGGTAAGTGGTGAAGCCAGGATTCAGACCTAGATCCAAACCCCCAAAATCAAGTTCTCAGTAATATCTCTCCGGTAGCAAAGTGGGTTCCTCAACAGCACAGACCCTCTGGGCTCCTCATCTCCTGGCACAAGAGTTGCTTGACAGTTCTCAGTCCCCCCCAACTAGGTGATGTTTTCCCAGCCAGATGTGACCCAGCAAGAAGGCAGCCAGGGCCCACCCTGGTGGCACAACAGGTTAAAAGCGCAGCACTGTGAAGCTGTCCACAGCCGCTGCAGCACGAGTTCCATCCCCAGCCAAGGAGCAACCCACATGGCACGGCAGACCACTCCTGACCCGCCCTCTGCTCCCCTCAGCAGTGTATTTCAGTCCATCTGCCTGTTCTGCTCCCCACTCTGTCTCTGGTGAATCCTCTCACCCTCTGCACCCTCTGGGCCTGTACCCCAGTTCTTGTATGTATAAATAAATAATCTTTTTAAAAAAGAAGAAGAAAAGGTAGCCAGCTGTGACCCAGCAATAAGGCAATCAGGCATGAGGACGAGGGGACTCTCGGGTCAGCTGTGTCATCCAACCTCAGGGTGGGTCTTGGGGGTCAGGACAGGACTCTATTCAGTGCTTTTAAGGTCTGGTTAATACCTAATTAACCTCACAAGCTTCACCCAGCCGAGCTCCATAAATTCTTACTAGAAACATACAGCAAACTGTACCCACTTAAAATGTACATTTTCCTATATTTTGACGTGTGAATATTTCACCAAAGTCAAGGTATAAAATGCCCCAAATTTCCTTGGGGCCCTTGGTGGGGCCTCTCTCCCATCCCTGCCAAGCCCTTGCTATCCTCGTGTCTTCCCAGAAGCACTCATCTGCTTTCAGTTACTAGAGAGCAAGTTTGCACTCTTTACCAGTTTAGAGTTTGACTCAAATGGAATCACGATCTGCAGCTGACCTTGCCTTCCTCTGCTCCCTCCCGGTGATGGCAGGTGTGAACAGTCCCTTTCCTTTCCTTTCTTTACTGAGCTGTGGGGGACCCCACAGCTGTGCTCACCTGCAGATGAGCATTGGGGTGCTTCCTTGGAACTATTACAAACAAAGCTGCTTGTACTTGAACCTGGTGTCCAAGTCTGTGCAGACATAATCTTTCTTTTCTCTAAGCTTGAACACCCGCTGCCGGAAGGTTTCCCACTGACCCTTCTGATGTGAGAAGAAACAGCCTCAGTCTGGTGCCTCAGCCCTGGAGCTGCCTCTGATCTGGGCTTCAGTCCTGGGAGAGGAAGCTGGGGAGGTTTAGCAGGAGCTGAATTGGAAAGGGGTGGGGGCACAAGCCTTTACCCCTCTTCCCAGCGCTCTGAGACTTCCTCAACTTTCTGTCCCCTGTCCTTCTGCTAGCCCCTAACAGCCCCGGGCCAGTGATGCAGTCCCTGCTCCAGCCCGGGGCTGCTAGGGAAGCTGTGGGCCAGGGAGGACTGAAGTTGCCACAAGTCCACAGTCTCCAAGCTTGCCTGGGCCCTAAGCACCACCTAGAATCTTCTTCAGGGGTCCCATTTGGAAAGTATTCTAAGGATTTCCCACCAACCTCAAGGCCCACAGCTGCCTCTTCTCCCACTGCCCATTCTCAGTGGATAGTCTCATTCCTTCATTCAAGAAAAGTTAGGCAGTAGTAGGTAGAAGGTGAAGGTGTTTCCCCCCCCCGCCCCCCACCTCCTCCATACTTCCAATTCAGCTCCCCAGCTTCCTCTCCTGCAGTCTCCCAAGACTGAAGCCCAACCCCCCAAATTTACCCAGATTCCTACCCATGCCATAATGGGGAAAGGGGCCTTCTCCCACTTAAGGTTAATCCCCCCACCTGGGTCGTAGGCCATATGCTCTCCCATTTTTCTAGAACTTTATGCTATTGACATTGAAGACTGGTGCCTTCAACACCTCTTTCCTGCCAGGTTGACCCTTTGCTTAATTTTTTAAAGACTTCTTTATTTAGGCATATAAGAACTGGGGTACAGCTAAGGGGGTGGGGGTGAATGGATTCACCAGAGACAGAGTGGGGAACAGAATAGGCAGATGGACTGAAACACACTGCTGCGGGGAGCAGTGGGGAGACAGGAGAGATCTGCTGCGCCCTGTGAGTCAGCTCCCTGGCCGGGGATTGAACTCATGCCGCAGTGGCTGGGGATTACTTCACAGTGCTGAGATTGAACCCCTTGTGCCACCGGGGAGGGCCCTTTAGTCCACACATCCACCGATTCTGTCTTCCACAGTCTGGACCTTCTGCTTCCTTCTGGGTGTCCTCCCAGCCCCACCCCAGCTTCCTGTCACATGCTCCTTTTCTTCCTGACCCAAGATCTCTCTTGGAAACTTGTCCCATCAAGTTTTCCCCACTTCCTAGGGAAGCCTACCGCTCACCAACCCTCTGCAAGCTGGCTTCTGTCTGCAGCCCTCACGAGACCACTTTATAAGAGCACCTAAACGGTCCCCCAATTTCCTAAATCCAGAAAGTATTTTCCAGACTTGAGCTCATTTGGCTCTGCCACTACTGACCATTCCTTTCTGAATAGCCGTGGTCCACACCTAGGGAGAGCACCCTACCCGGGCCTGGACCGGCACCCTGTCTCCCTTTCACCTTCTCCTCCCGGCCTCCCTCCCTTTTTCCTTTCCGTAAACTCCAGTGCTGCCTCCAAGGCTCCTGCCTCCTCCCCCAGCTTCTCTCCTCTCAGGGCTTTCTGCCCCTCTTGTCCGCACACCCAGCAGTAGTTGTCAGACTGTCCCACAGGGACCTCGAATTCAGCATTTCTCAGTTGAACTTCTACTCTCTTAAAATCTGCTCCTCTTCCTATAATACTCCTGATCTCTGTCAAAACTCAAAAATTCCGAGATTTATTTCCAGGCCTTTCTTTCCCTTCTTCCCCAACATACAGGCAGTAAGTGAACTCACTATTTCTAAAGATTTCTCCCATCCCTTCTGTCTCTTCCCCTCCATGCTCACTGCTTTAATTCAGACCCATCAGCTGTCTCCTAGACTTTTGCCTCCTAACAGCTCGAATTTCTCTGCTGCCTCCCAGATCGGTCCTGAGATCATCGTCCGCACAGCTACCTGCGCATCTGTCTAAAATACAGCTCTAACTGTGTCAATCTCCTGCTCACAATCTCCTGCGGCTCCCACCATCTACAGGATCAAGTTCAGATTCCTTCGCCTGACACATTAGGCTTCTCTCCCAAGCCATCACCTTCCTGCTCCTTCGGTCTCTTTTTCTGCTGCACGCCACAGTCTCCACCCATCTCTACTGCCCTCCACCTTGTGGTCTGGATAAATCATATCCTGGCTCCCATGGGGGCTCTGGGTCAAAGGTGCTTGGTCAAAGGTCCCACTCCAGTCTTCCTCAAGAAGCAGTTCAATGATTCCCCCTGGGGAGCTCCACCCTAACTCCCCAGAGAACATCACTGCTTCCTGGTGTTCCTCCAGCATCACACAAATACTTCCAGAACGCATCACAGACTGTCATAAGCATCTGTGTTTCCTCCTCACTGACTTCAAGGAAAAACTTCGATCTTACTGTTTTTTATCATCGCCACTGCCCAGTACTGCAGCACACACATAGTGGACACTCAAGAAGTGTTTGCAGAGTGGAAGATGAGATGAAGCCGGAAGGCAGGCAAGAAAGGGAAGAGATAACAGCCACTGCATCAAAATCCCAGAGGAGCTTATGCAAATTCAGATTCTAAGGCTCTACCCCAGAACTTCAGAATCTAGAGGGGGAACTAGGACCTGGCCTTTTTAATAACTTCCTTGGCTGAGTCTCGGACAGTCAAGTCTCAACACACTGACCAAAAGGACCCACCTCTTAACCCTGTTCAGTGATTCAAGAATCTGACCTGGAGTCAAGAACTTTCGTAGAGTTAATTCTAAAATAATGTAATTACAACATCAATTATGATCATGCTGATGATAATTACAGAAGAAAGGCCTCCAGCGAACAGGGACACTGGGAGACACCAGGAAAGGCCCGTCTGCCTGCACCCCGCAAAGCAAGCTAGTGGGGGAGAACCGTGCTCCATGGAAAGTGAGCAGGGCCTGGACACAGTCCGAGCTCTGATTAACAAGTGGTTCTGTCTCACAGGAGCACTCTCCATCTCTCTAGACCTTGCTTCCCCATCTGAAAAATGAGGGCGTTGCATCCAAGGCTGCTTTCAGCTCTAATGCTCTGTGAGTGGCTGTCTGGGGGAAGGGAAGACACCCGCCGCGGCGTACAGGGACAGTCCAGGAAGCCTTGCTTCTGGACTTGCTGTATCGTCAGGAGCATTCTCTCCTGGCAGAAGATGACTGTAGTCGGAGCAGGCCAGAACAGCCTCAGCAGAGCCACTCTGTCATAATGAGATTATGCCAGAGCCATTTTGGTTTATGAAATTAATATAACAGTGCTAATATAGGACCGAGAGTCGCCAAGGCTCCCTCGCTTCAGAATGCCAGAAGTATGTGGGCATCTCTCCTTCCTCCTGACCACAGCCCCATAAAGCAGCGAGCAGGGAGAGGGATTGCCAGCCCCAACCCCAGATTCTGGGTGAGGGGATGTCAGGCACTAGGTGGTGGGGGTGGGATCCCCTGCCCCTGGCATTTAGCCCAGCCTTCAGGAGGAAAACCCGCAAACCCGCATGGGAGGTGGGGAGGAGGGCTCACGTCTGGTCTTTTCAGTGGCCTGAGGGAAAGAGCTCCCGCTGGGTGAGCAGTCTAGTCATCCTCCACAGCGTCCCCGTTCCCGGTTTGTGACTGGGGGAGGGGGAGAAGCCAGCACCTGCCCGGCCCTGCCGGCAACCTGGGCTGGACTTTGACCCATTGGGGAAAAGGCGGGAGATGCATTCAAGCCGGCATAGTGATAAACTTATTAGTCACGTCGGCCGTCCCTGCCACCGCTCCCCCCACCTTCTCCAGCCGGCCCCCCAACCTTACCGCCTTTCAAGTTGGACAACTTTAAAGAAAGAGGAAAAAAAATAAAATAAAATAGAGGCAGAGCGAGAGGCTGAGCGAGCGCCCCGCACGTACTTGATGAAGAAGACTCTCCCACCGCCGTCAACTCCGTAGGTCCACCGGCCCAGCAAGTCCAGCCAGTCTATCTCATCGGCCATCTCGGGGTCCCGCGGGCCCACTCGCTCTCGGCCCACACGGACGCCGGCAAGACCCGGGCTCCCTTCCCAGCAAGACCCACTTTCTGCTGCTCCGGGAGCGGAGCGGGGG